TCATTCAAACCGATTCGCAATCTTAAAGACAGAGATTTTAAACATAAAATTAGTAACATTTTCATAAATTCAATCAAAACTTACTTCAAAGTCGTTATAAATATTAAATACAATTAATTATAAATATTACAGTTATTGTCATAATATTCGCCGCAAGTTCTTATAAATTAATGTTTAAAGCGCTGACAATGACTGCATAATAGAGAGAACGTCTAGTAATTACAATTTAAAGACTAGTCTATCGATTGAATAGCGTCTCGACATTAATTCAATTTCAATGAAAACTATAAAATGCAAATCAAATCAAACTAATCCTTCAATGAAAATCCGAATGAATCGCTTTGCTATCAATTTGCCGCACTTGTCAAGTGATCATACATTTCTCAACTGTTATATTAAATTCAGTGCAAAATCATATCAGTCGACAAATAATTAAAATATAAAGTAATTTTGAATTTAAGATTTGAATTGAGAAACACATAATACTGTTCAATACAATTAGCAATGTATGAAACGCTGCGGGACTTTGAAGTAAGTTTGAAAAATCTCTGGATATTATGTTTTCCGCAATTTAGTGACAGATGATCGCAAAATTAGGGAAAATATGAATATAGATTTTGCAAATAATAAAATTATAACCTAAATGTTAGTAAAACGCATGTATTATTCGCGCGCCGTTTGACAACAGGATTAGTAGTGTTACCTTTGCCTCATCGAGACGGGACAGGGCTTTCAGAAGGTTTCCCAAATCACTTCTCACGCAATATAAGTCCTGTAATGACCAGAAAAGGCATCAGAATGTCATTGCATACCAACCAGTGGCGAATAATTACGGGATTGTATTGGAGGGCCGAGACGTACGCCTGGACCGCCTGCTCCATATCGCCCGCAGCCACCAGAGCCGCCGCCAGATTTATGTAGCCGTCGATGAAGTCGGGCTTTAGGCGCACGGCGTGTCTGTAGTTGTCCAGCGCTTCCTGCAGTTGACTCTTCTCTTTGTAAACGTTTCCCAAATTACTGTAGGCTTCAGCTAACAGCGAGTTCTGCTTTATGGCGAGTGAACTGAAGTGTGCGGACCTGGAGGACAGACAACACAGTCAGGCATGACATGCAAGTGGCCGACCATTCATTCACTTACTCCTTAAGGCGTCGGCACTGGAAGTGAATGGAACTGAGGAGGAGGAGGACCCCGGTGTTGGTGGGGTCCTGACGCCACAGTTGCATACAATGCCTTTCGGCCGACTCGTAGTCTCCCGCCTGGTATTCGCGATGAGATAACTCAGCCAAACCTGTCAACACATCCATCACATCAAGCAATAGGTCTAATGGCAGAGTGCAGTGGAGGGACAGGAGGTGAGCCTCCCTTTCCACTCGTCTGCAACTGTAAACGCAATCAATGGTAAGCAATGGACTGTACTTTGAAAGGCTGCGGCCACGGATGTGTTCATCTCCTGTATAGTTCGGGTCCTTTTGCTGCCATTAACTGTGGATGAAAGCAATGGATGTCAAGAAGT